ATTTTTGTCCTTAATATAGTGTTTAAAAAATAAAAAACTGCTTTTATTCTGGCCAAAATAAAACAAATATTACTTTCTCCAGAAGAAAAAATATTGTCAGACATATAATGGTAAATCAAAGCCAACCCGCTCAGTAGTGAAAAAGTGGCTAATCAATCAATCATTACAATTTGTAGTTAAAATATAACAAATCAAGGCGGCATTGTCACCTCACAGCATGAACGTTGCTGGTTTGAGTCCTGGCTGGGCAAGTTGGCATTTCTATGTGGAGTTTGCATGTTTTCTTCATGTTCGCATGGATTTCCTCTGGGTGCTCCGGTTTCGCCCACAGTCCAAAGACATGCTCGGTTGGTGAATTGGATGAACTAAATTGACTGTAGTGAATGAATGTGTGTGTGTGAATGCAAGAGTATATGAGTGTTTCCCAGTGCTAGGTTGTGGCTGGAAGGGCATCCACATTGTAAGACATATGCCAGAATAGTTGGTGGTTCATTCTGTGGCGACCCCTGATAAATAATAGACTAAGCCGAAGGAAAATTAATGAATAAGAAAATAAAATAAAGCATATTGTGCTTTAGGATGACAACAACACAAGCTCTCTTTGGCCTGCTCACAGTTAAGCTTTTCAGTATCTATTTAATCATCTTAATCGTTATCTGTTAGTTTACAGGCAGATGCATACAGTATCAGTGTATATCAGTATCAGTATATTGATGGGCTGCTTTGATCAAATATGCCAGGGCTGGTTTTCTCAATGCATTCAATGCTCTAACTTTGTATTTTGTTACCTCACAGCATGACTGATAACGAAATATGCATACAAATGCAACATTATGTAATATGATGTCACTCAAATAATGATTATTTCCTTAAAATTTTGAACAACCTTTAAGAGTAAATGCAAACATCGTTCTCTTATTTCAAGAGAGTCTGATCAAGCAGACGATCATTTGGGAGAGTGAGTCTTTTTAGAGAGGGACTCTACTATACATGAAGAGTTTATATTAGAGCAATGATTCATTGCATATTCAGCCGCTCTGGGAGTCCAGCTGTTATCAAAAAGAAGTGCTTTTCAGTGCTTTTGGCTTTCAGGAACTCAAACGTAAGTCATTTAAGATATATAAGTTCTTTTAGGCTAATTACAGGCATGTATATCATCCTAAAGAGCTGTGCATATACAGTCAAAAAATACTTTGCTGTTTGTTCAAATTACAGGGGACCAATTTAATGTGGTCTTTACATTGGCCTATGAACATTTCCTGCTTGTTTTCAAACTATAACTGTAACAAGAGGCAATTCAAACATAACTTAATGTTAAAACAGCTATCATACACTCTCAGAAATAAAGGTACAGGAACTGTCACTGGGGCAGTACCTTTACAAATTTGTACTTAAAGGGTCCATAACGGTACCTCAAAGGAACTTTTTAGGGCGAGTTGTGTACTAATATGTACCTTTGAGGTACCAATGTGCACTCTTTGGGTACAAATATGTATCTTTTAAAAATGTACTGCCCCAGTGATAGTTCCTGTATTTTTATTTCTGAGAGGGTAACTTTATGTATCAATATATGCTCTTTTTGGATTCTCGGAAACTGAATTAATAATGTTAAATAGGAAGTCTGCTGGGAGCATTGTTTTTGTTTACATTTATGAAAATGGTCTATAAAAATAAGCTGAATCAAGACAATTCTTGACTTTTTTTTTAGCGCAATCTGATTGTTCAATTCACTTAAATTTGTAAAAACTAATAAATTAACTTAATTCTTTCATGTTATCCCAACACAAATTGATTGTGTGGAGGCCAGCAATGCTGAGTATTTATCCAAGCCCTCTGATGCTCCTCCAACAGTTTGACTAAATTTGGTATACAAGACTAAATGTTTTCAGTAGTAATCTTGCACAATCTTCCATCTAAGCTGACTCTAAGAGAGTTAATTTCAACACTTTGAATGCGTCTCATGAAGGGTCCACTCCTACCATAGTTAGATCAACACTTTCAAAAGTGTTGGCACGTTGACACCTATGGAGTAGGGTTAATTTAAACTCTGGGAAGAGTTAAAAATGTGACTTTACACTACCCGGTGTAAAATAAATTATAGGTTGGCGTTCGGTGTCATTTTTAAAAATACAATATATCGCTATTTTATTTAACCCTCTAGAGTGTAAATATGGTAAAGATAATAAAGAATGTAAATAAATACAAAAACATTTTAATTGAGAAAGTTCACCATTTATAATACATCTGTATTGTTTTTAGAAAACAGCTTATGTCTTGGCTGAAACTTATCACTCCATTTTCTTTTACATTTACAGACATTTCCTTCAGATGTTTGCAGTGCATATTTAAAAATATAAACATAACACCTGCAAAACATCATTACCATAAAAATACATGTCTTATTTATATAATATATTCAGTGCACTTTTAACAAAGGCATGGTCGAGACATTCATGTGGCTTTTAAATCAAGCAGAAGAATATGAAGGAAATTGTTCAGCTGAAATATTTGATGGTGCCAGGTGGGCTGGTTTGATTACCATAGAGACTTCTAAACTCAAGCTGATTTTTATGCGTCACATTGTCTAATGTTTACACAGAATGATTAAAAATGGCGTCGGTTCTGTGAGTATAAAGGTCAGAGGAGAATGACCAGACAGGTTTGATCTCACTGGATTTGCAGCAGAAAACAATAGCAAGAACTTGCTGAACTTGACTGAGGTGGACAGACTTCAGCAGCAGCAGGTTTTTAGTAATGCCATGAAGAAAGTATTACAGTTTTTCTCAGTCGCTTTGGTGCATTTCTCACAACAGTATTTACATTTGCACAACAGGTAATACATTTCTCAAAACAATTAGCACCAACTGCAAAACCTACAGTAGTTGATAACCTGCAAAAGCGTGTCACTCGCTCAATGTATAGCTCATTCCTCAAAAGCAAGTATTCATGTCAATGAAAGTGTCAGTGTCATCAAGATGAAAAGTCCTGACACCATTGTTTATGAACAAGATAGTCAAATGGCTTTGTCATGTTTTCATTATGACAGTTACTCTGAACATTTTTCCAATGCTATAAAGTCAGATTTTGGTGACACTTCCTGAAAATGCTCAAGACAGCACTAGATACTATTTGCACAGCCATTTGAAAACTACAGTTAAAGTTAAACATCACTGTTTTACTGAGGTATCTGAGTACAAGACACTGAATATGTATGTTTCACATTTTTACTGTATTTGCTCTTTGCTAATCTAATTTATTCACAGCATTGTGCAAAAGAATAAACACACCCTTATTTACAACAAACATAAAAGTCATTTGGGGAGAGCTGTGCACAACTGTAAACTATATTGCAGTGCATGTTGGAATTAAACCCACAACATATATAGGTCTGTAAATCCTTCATAAAATTGTTCAATTTAGAAGACATTTTCAGGAAAAAAAGATAAGTTTTGGAGAAAGGCTTATTTGTTTTATTTTGTTTAGAATGAAAGCAGTTTTTTAATTTTTTAAACACCATTTTAGGGACAAAATTATTAGCCCCTTTAGGCTATTTTTTTTCTCGATAATCTACAGAACAAACATAAATATCATTATACAATAACTTGCCTAATTACCCTGACCTGTCTAGTTAACCTAAATAACCTAGTTAAGCCTTTAAATGTCACTTTAAAGGGCCATGACACCCCCCACTTTCGGTTAAAGTCTACTTCAGAATTTTTTCAAAAGATGCATGATTAATGGGCGTGGAGCTCCGCGAGCATAGGGCAGGAGTGGGCGTGGCTGCAGGGGAGAACGCGAGCGAACAACTGTTGTTGTCAGTTAGCTCACAAAATGAGACACAAACTGTGAGGAGACGCATGAGTTTATAGTTTACAAAGTTAAAATGCAAAGAAATGAACAGTGATTTAATGCCCTGCTACATTTGTTATTCATAATTTCATATACACATAACCACAATTTATATCATTATAAAGATAAGTGTGTTCATGTAAACCCTATAAATGAGGACTTCTCCCTCAATCCCCGTATCCAGCAGACTCAGTGAAGCAGGTCTCCTGACCTGTCTATTTTAACCATTAGCCCTGCTGGTAATCTGGAGGATTTAGGCAAACACAGCAGCACAGTGATGTGTCTGAATGTGAACGAACTGCTGATAAAAGACAGCGTCCGCCATTCTCTAATTCTCGTGCTGCTCTCCTGACAAAAATGCTAGCAGCACACACACAGCTTTGCTGTATGATCGGCACTGACAGGATCGCGGGGGAAAACATGCAACAAACCCCGTGGATCATGGAAACAAACGCATATGATTGTTCATGAACGGCTAAATACTGTGTTGGGGTCCGTGTCTCACAGCTTGGGCTTGACTCTGACAGGTCTGGCAGGTCTCATGAATAATTAAGCAGCCAGCTCTTCTCATAGGATAAGAAAACTCCGCTATGAATAATAATGAGAAACCGCCGCGTCATCATTGCACTTGCAGTGCTGCGCTACGTCGCCGATTTTTATCCCGCCCTAAAAATCATTTTATACCCCGAAGCTGAAATTAGCTGACAATAGCTCAAAATTATCCAGTTTTCCCCACAATTAAAGCTGACAGGTGCTAACATTGTCTTAACTGATGCTCAACACACACAAATTATTTAATATAAAAAATAAATTCTCCAGTGTGAGTGTGTCCTGGACCTTTAAGCAGTATAGAAGTGTCTTGGAAAAATATCTAGTTAAATATTATTTAGTCATCATGGCAAAGATCAAATAAATCAGTTATTAAAAATGAGTTATTAAAACTATTGTGTTTAGATAATCTTCTTACCATTAAACAGAAATTGGGGAAAAAATAAACAAGCGATCTAATAATTCAGGGGGGCTATTCTGACTTCAACTGTATATATATAGTAAATGAGTGTGCAAAGATGTTAAAAGCCAATCAGAGCAGCAGAAACCGCACAGATATCACAGTTCAAGGTTGATCAGATACTTGTGTTTATAGACTAGAGAGAAACACAGCAAAACGCTGAGCTCCACAGCAGTGAAGGCCACCATTCTGCTTCAGTACTGTAAGTTTTACAAACTTTAAACAAAGCTTTAATGGTTAGGCAATATTTTTAATTCTTGCTTTTATGAAAATGCATTAAGGTCTATGCTTAAGATTTTTTTATGCAAATATTTTGTTCTAATTATTTAAATTCATGACAAGTAAAATGATTATAATTCGACAGTTCCTGCATGTGTTTTGGTGTTCATTTGCTAATGTTGTTGTAAAGTGGTGTGTATGTGAACGGTGCAAATGTAGAGCAAAATTTGACTCTGTTAATGAATGATTTTGATGAACTTTGAGTCTGTGCTTCTCCTGTTATTAGCAGGCCATTATTATTGCCCTTTGATCTGCAATTTTCTCTAGTTAACATGTTATGTGTAACATATTCATAACAGCGTAGCAATGTTTCACAATGATGGTCCCTTTAGAAATGTGATTTTGTAGAAAAACAATGCTTGGAATTACTGTATAGACCATTTCAGTGTGTTCATGTCATTGGCCCATGGACATGCCATAACTGAAACAAGAGGCAACTTAATGTTAAACTTAATGTTAAAACAGCTGTCATAACATTATTTAACAATATGTGGCTCTTTTTGGCTTCCCAGAAGCTATAGAAATAAAAAATGTAAAACAGGAAATATGCTGGGACTATTGTTTTTGTTTACATCCATCAAAAGGCTCTAAATGGAGAATCAAAAAAGACAGAAGCATTAACTTACTAACATACCAAGGCATGTAAAACTGAATAAAACAAAAGCTGCTTTTTGAGAGTGAACATTTGAAATACCACTCTTTTAATTTTCGTCTATCTATCAAACGTCGTTCATTGTTATTCCAAGTTATTTTTAAACCTAAGTGTTTACGTAGTGTTTTTTTATTATTTAGTCGGAACCTTCAGTTTTGGGCTTTGGAGCGACACGGACTGTTTTTGCTGACGCACCGCTGCGCTGGGGAGGACGTTTTAAACAGGTAAACTCTGCTGCTTTTCATGATTAAATTGCTGTTTTGTAATGTATGTTTCGTGTTTTTGCTGATGTGGGCCGCTACAATGTTGTTAGAAGGCTATTTTCTCCGTGACGTCTACATAGGCAGAGCGTTATTGTGAATATTAAGACCTTGGCTGCTGATTAACATCTAATACCACTTACGATCCGTGCTGTTTAAAATGCAGATTTATTCATTTTTCTCAATTTTAAAACTCGTTTTTCACGGCGAATAGAGATCCTAATCCACAATAATTATGGCTTTCATCATTACTGCTCATGTTTATTGTTCAAACGCCTGGGGAAATTTTCTTATGTAACTTATTTCTTATTTGTGTAAAATTACGAGTTCTTGTTGATATACAACGCTTTGCACACCGTATACGCTGGAGTTTATGGACGTGTTTCCGTGAAAGGATGAATTAGACTTGAGTTCAGACACTTCAAAGAGGATTAATTAGCTTAGGCTAATTCGCTTTCTGGTCACTGACTGGCAGCTAACTAATAGAGGTAAAGTTGGTTTTATGATCGCACATTCAGTCTATCTCATTAATAATAAAATCTCAGAATAGTATAAATGGGAAATTCTAAATAGCAAAATCATATTAGCAGCCAACAACCATCAAAGTACAACATTGATCACAGTCAGTTAAATAGTGCCAGTGTTGTTTTGAAGTCATACTTACATTTGATTTCAGTCTGAATATTCAAAATACCATGGTAAACAATATATGGAGCTGTCACCGAACAAATGTGCAAATATAAAACCAACTTTACCTCAGTCTAGCAGCTTAAATAAGACAATTCCATGCAATTGTCAACCTTGCCATGAAAAACATTTCACCAAAATTTCTAAATCGTTTCTAATTTTTTGGTTAGCAATTATTTTAAAGTACAAAAATGTCTCTGTCAATGTTTCCAACTATTATATTTGATTTACCAAAAGTGACACAAGTGGCAATTTTACATCCGTAACAACACCTTTTTTCTCATAAATGCAAAAATATATATTAAAACTTTTATCCTTTTGATTATCACTATTTCTTTTGGGTTTTGCAGTTTAATTCACAGAATTTCTACAAAGTATGGTGTGTACTGTAAACTCAAAGACTTTTTTGGTCACATCCATAAAGCATCTTTATTTTCCTCATTTATATAGAAAACATATACATAACATCTATATCCATGTATTGTATACAATACATAAGCTTTAAATAAATAACAATATATTTAAATACATCAACAAAAATAAAACAAAAAAACAAAAATGGTATGTGTGATAGCAATGGAAAGACACAAGGACTAAACTACTGAAATGTATTTAACACTATAAAAGGCTTATTTTGGTGATGGTAGCTTAAAGTCGCCTCTCAAATGGAGAATGAAGACACATGAATTGCTCAGGTGTGAGTTTTTCCACAGACTTTAACAGAGTGTAAAATTCTTTATGGTTCTGTGGGTCTCGTCTATCAAATCTGATCTATATTTAGCATTTTCAATTGTATTCAATCAAGTGATTGGCTGGGCCATTCTACAGCTTGATTTTTTTTTCTCTGAAAGCATTTGAGAGTTTCCTCGGCTGTGTTTTGGATCATTGTCTTCTTCATCCTGCTAATGTGGATGTTGGACTGAAGCAGTGAATATTCATTTACAATGATGAAGGACAGTTGCTGAAGAACTACTGAGATATTTTAGTTGCTCTTTGGGGTTTCACTGCCCTTTTACACCTCCCTGTCTTCATGTGTTCAATGCTTTTTTCCCTGTGTCATTTCATTTTATTACAAAACCTAATATGTAAACTACTTAGATTTGTTTTCTTTTCAAATATGGATTTTTTTGGTTATCAACATTTGGTTACAGCACCTTTGGCAATATGACTTCTGAGAAAAATAGTGACATGTTCAATACTTATGTCCCCCACTTTAAACAAATAATATGTGAAATAAATAAGAATTTGAATGATAAAACAGTATAAAACTCAATTCATTTAACATGAAATGTATTCATATAAAATAAGTATGAATATTACTAAAGGGTACCAACATTTTTTTTTATATATTTATTCCTTTATTTAGGTTGTTTGACTGCTAAATTATAGCCAGAGAAGTTTTTGATCATTTCAAATCCCGGTAACAAGATCTATCACAATATAGTATCATTTCTGTAAATTAAATGAATTAATTGTTTATTGAGACCTGTAAAGGACACTTTCTTTTAGCATTTTTAAAGTTTATACCCAAAAACTCATTCATGTGTGATCATATTTTTCACTTTGTTTAGAACTTCATGGCAAATGTTTAATTAAAAACACAGAAATGTAATAAAATATAAAACTTTTCAAAAACTAAAGATGTCACAAAAAAAAAGCAAATTACTTTTAAGATTACTTTCTCACGATTACAAGATAACTTTCTCTTTCTCACGATGCGGTTATTAATGTTTTTAATCAGCATCCTCGTAGTAGCCTGAAATTATGAAAAAAAATACATAAAAAAATAATATATATATATATATATATATATATATATATATATATATATATATATATATATATATATATATATATATATATATATATATATATATATATATATATATATATATATATATACAGTTGAAGTCAGAATTATTAGCGCCCCTGTTTATTTTTTTCACCAATTTCTGTTTAATGGAGGGAAGATTGTTTCATCACATTTCTAAGCATAATAGTTTAAAAAACTTATTTCTAATAACTGATTTATTTTATCGTTGACATGATGACAGTAAATAATATTTTACTTGATATTTTTCAAGACACTTCTGTACAGCTTAAAGGAACATTTAAAGGCTTAACTAGGTTAATAAGGTGAACTAGGCAGGTTAGGGTAATTAGGCAAGTTATTGTATAACGATGGTTTGTTCTGTAGATTATCGAAAAAAAATAGCTTAAAGGGGCTAATAATTTAGTCCCAAAAATTGTTATTTAAAAATTAATAACTGCTTTTATGCTAGCCAAAATAAAACAAATAAGACTTTCTCCAGAAGAAAAAATATTATCAGACATACTGTGAAAATTTTCTTGCTCTGTTAAAATAATTTGGGAAATATTTAAAAAAATCTAATCAAATCAAAAGGGGGCTAATAATTCTGACTTCAACTGTATATATATTAGAGCTGCACAATTAATCGTTAAAATATCGCGATCTCGATTCGACCCCCTAGACGATCTAAATCCAGCATTTCTGCGATTCTGTCAATCATATTTTCAAGTTCAGGAGAGAAGAAACGGCGGCTGCACAAGTCTTTTCATTGTTTCACACACGTTGCTCAGTGACATTGACACCTCCAAATGATGTTAAATGAGTCACCTACTTTATTTATAAGGTGTAATTCACCTAAAAATGTCATTTTTGTCATTAATATAACGATGTTTTCGTGATCGGGAATCACACGTGACATGAGCTGCTGACCGTGAGCTGTTATCACAGGGAGGATATTTGTTATATATATATATATATATATATATATATATATATATATATATATATATATATAAATAAAAACTATATACTTTATTTTGTGCTTACATTATATAATGTTACATTGCACAACCTGAAATGCAACTAAAGTTTATTCAGAGTGTTTTCTTTATTTCCCTCTCTGTTTTTTTTCTCCTCAGTCCAAGATGGCTCAAGCGGACAGCAGGGCTCTGGTTTTAGGGGCTCTGGCAGGTGCTGCTGGAATCAGCCTGGCCATCGTCTACTTTAGGAAAGTCAAAGCAAGTGATGGCAGAGTCCGAAACCAGAGGAGCTTTGGGGATCACACGGATGGCCCGTTGTGTCTGCAGACAGGCCAGGCCGAGGTGCTAGATCGACTGGGTGCTCTAATCCACTGTGTGTCCGAGCTCAAAGAAGAGGTAAAAGCCCTGAAGGATGCACTTCCACACCTGCAGGACAACGTCAGAGATCAGCTGAGGGGCCGGAGCGCAGAGGATATCAGCGCTCGCAGGGCAAGTCCCCTTCACCGCACTCCCACCAGGAGAAAAAGATCAGGAGTCCCAACTAGAAGTGAAGGACAGAGCTCAGAAGAGGCAGAGAGTGAAGGAGGGTGAGTTTCTGAGCTCTATTTGTTTCTGTGACTGCTCTAGACAATGAACGTGTAGTCATATTACTTGTTCTGCAAGTCAATCATTTTATATATTGGGAAGAGGAAGCTAGAGCTTATTAAGGGAGGATTTCAAAATTGCCTTATAAGATTTATAAGCTGTGTTTTCATATTAATATTTATATGTGTATTTCTTAATATTGCATACAATACTGCCATTATCTTGTCAATATCTTACAATTTCACTGGAGTGCAGTAAGTGCACTATTCTGTTCTTCGTAATGGTGGTATTTAAATTTCTATCTTGTTTCGTCTGGTGCAAACAGCCAAATTGCTTATCACTGCAAATCTCGTTACGTACTGTAGCGTGTTGTTGGTAGGGCTGGGCGATTTTTCCGATTTTTTTCGATTAATTCGAATTTACATTTTAAGACAATTTAATTTTGAATCAAATCGAGAAATTGTGATTTTAAAAAAATATATATATTTAATACATTATAATGGCACCAATGTGCTTTGGTTCACTCTCTGTATAAAGCAGGAAGCACAACAGAAGCGCCTCTCGGTGACGCGCCGCGCAGCACCACGCAGCGTCACGCAGCGCCATGGATTTTAGAATTCTAAACAGGTTTCTATACACACACCGGCGCCGCCCTGCCACGATTCACGAAGCAGTTCGTATTTCAGCCGGCCCACAGAGCGCATGTTGAATATCATGCGAATGTGCGCGTTTGGTGTGTGATGGTTTAAACTGTCATGTGCGCGCCGTGTTGCGATGCTTCTGGTGTGCGACCTGCTTGACTGCCTGTTGAAGCGTGAAGTCATGCAGGATTTTACTTGTTGCATTAGTCTGAGTCACGTCTATGTGGATTGTCAAGACATTCCCCCATCAAGTAGATAAACTCGATCTCAACATGTATGAAGGACGTAAAAGCCTGCCATGTGAAAAACCGTGCCGATCTTTTGGTTTGAACACGAGTAGAGGTGAGGGACTGTAGCAGTGAAAATGAAAGTACCCGCCCCCATGACGTCATTTAGCGGACCTAGTTGAAAACCAGACAGATCAGGCAGCATAACACAGAGAGTGGAGCAAAGCGCATTATTTTCTCCTGCTATACGTCCACAACTTCATACATTGGGTTAAATTAGGCTTTACAGTTTCCATGTTCAGTCCTTTTTCTTTCACTGTATCTTTTTAAGAAAAAGGCAGCAGCATTACAACCTGTCATTCAATCAGAAGAAGACAAAGTCAAAGTCGAGCTGACAGCCTATCTTTCCTAGGCTCAGCAAAACTTGCAAAAAATACATCTGTATTCCTGCAACTGCAATATTTACACAAATATTTTTTATTCAAATCTTCAGCAACAATATTTAACTCGTGAATTTGTTTTACATTTATTTACACCTTGACCGATTTGTGTATGACATGGCCATTAAAAATACATTGTTCCTTAACCAGATGGTTTTTCAAGTTACTTTTAAAGAGAATGTTACTTCAGTCATGTTGTTGTAATGTTTTGAGAAGACTAGTGACACAATAAAAAACAAAAATCGAAATCGTGAATTGATCAAACTTTATAAAAAAAAAATAGATTTTTTTTTTGCTAAATCGCCTAGCCCTAGTTGTTGGTTACATCATGACCTGCTCACCTAACGTTTACATTTTTAATATTTATATTATTTGCGAATTAATAACCACCTCATGTGGAACTCTAAATCGAGGTCTCATTTTGTAGGCTGCTACTTTCCGTTGGAGGTCGCATTTTGGTCATGGGTGCTTACTTTGAGAGCCTTCCTTACTGAATGAATGAAATGCACTATTTTCCACCAAGGCAACCCAGGATGCTAAAATATAAATATGCTAAACTGGCATTAGGTGAGTTAAATGACCAAAACAAATGCAGATGTTCAGGCATGTAACGTAACTCACATTTTCAAAGCAAAATAGCTGACCTGAGCATTGTTTTTCAGAGAAAAAAGAATTTTAATTTCGCATGTTTCTTAAACATCTGCATATTTATTAAATATTTATGCTTTAGAAGAGTCAAAATCTTACACACAGGATCTATAAATGAAGTTGTCATAAAACTATTTAACTACAACTGTTTTTGTCAAACCTTTTCGGCCACTTTAAATGTTGACTACCGCAAACTGTGAAAATGTGAAAAAAATAAAGTTGATTTTCAAAATAAAAGACTGTTATAATAAAAAATATATTAAATAATAATAAATTGTAAATCAATTATTGCTAAATTATTGCTGTGATAATAAATGAATAAAAATCTAATAAAGTTTTAAAATGAAGTTAAACAAAATCCATGTGACTGTTTTATTTATTTATTTTTTTTGTCTTAAATTGGGACTAATATGACTCTTTAACTGGACTTATTAGTTTATCAATCTCAATCACATCATGAAGTTTCACAAACTGATTTCAAGAGGAGCAGGTAATATGATCGATCGTGGCCAGAGATTAAACAAGATGATTAGACATTAAAAAAGCGAGCGATTTGCTCCATGTTTTAAATTTCTATCCAGAGTGGTCATGTTTTTATCCTCGGTTGGTCTCACGCAGTCAAGTGATGTGATTTCGCAGGTCAGAGTTCACCAGCTTGAATTTGCACTGCAGCAACCTGCGAAACTTGACGCATGACCCTGCGTTTCTGGTCTGACGCATTTGCGTGCGTATGAATGGAAGTCTATGGAGAGACAAGTCCTGTGTGACCGCAGCTTTCCTCCTTTATCTTAGTTTATACCCCTATACACCCAATCTCCCTCTTTCCTCCTTTACCAGGGTGAGCTCTCGAGAACTACCTGATCTGTACACCCTTACATGCTCATTGACCAGGCAGGAGCCCTGAGCTCAATTATGTCCGAGCTTATGGTTCTCTCCCGGGACAGCATGCTAATAGCATCAGGCAATATATAAGTGTGAACTCCTGAAATCTAAGGTGTTTTAGCACTTAAAAAATATCAGTCAGCTACAGTGCCCATCTTACAGAAACTTGAATTACTAGGAAGTGAGGATTTCATTTTCTTTAATACACAATATTTTGCTTTATTCCAGTGTTACTCAACTACGTTCCTGGAGGACCACCAGGTCTGCACATTTTCCATGTCTCCTTAACCAAGTACACCTGATTCAGATCATCAGCTCTTTAGCAGAGACTGAAAGACCTGTAATGGGTGTGACCGACAAAGGAGACGTCCAAAACATGCAGTGCGAGTGGTCCTCCAGGAACGTGGTTCAGAAACACTGATTTATTCACATGATTTAATGTCATATTCTAAATTCGTGTTGGACATTTGGGTGACGTATAGTACTCATAAACGATTAATCACGACTAAATGAATACAAAAATAAAGTTTACATTTACATAAGTAAATACATGCATGTAAATAATATTTATATACAACATAAAATCACATATAAATATTAATATGTATGTAATTTTTTATACTATGTACATATAAGTGTATTTACATATATACATAATTGATATACACAATAAACGCACATATTATATAAATACAAACTTCTTGTGTAGACTGTTTATCAAGATTAATCGTTAAACAGCATCAGTAACATGCAGAAAAAATTGTAGCTCTTTACATTGCTCTTCAAGTTACAGTCATTTCAGTAAATCCAAGTATTGTGCTTTTTAATTTTTTATATCTCTATGCTAGACAATGTAACACTTTGTAGGTGATTATTAAGTTTTAGCAGCATTCGAAGTGTGCTCATAATTATGTTGGGTTATGATGGAGGTAGAAATCTGAGAGTGTTCTAAATCAGGTGACATATGTACAGACGAGGTGAACTCCACTGCCTCCAGTCATTCATTTAAGCAATTGTTCGCTAAATTCAGCACTAAGCACTTTACAAGTCCAATCCAGTCTCGCTAAATTCTGCTCCAGAAGCCATTCACGTATAATCTGTTTTGTTTTCCGTAGCATTAAACTTGTTATTTTTAACACGCCATGTTCTGCAGCGACTTACATTTCCAAAAATGATTTGTTATTTTAAAGCCGCTTGGAGTGTTTACAGGCAAAGTTGCACAAATGAGATATTAAAATAAATAAATGAAGGAAGCCCCGGAGGCATCTGATGAAATGCTTCTGCAATCAGTTTTCATTAGTCTTTTTATATGTCTGTTTGGAGTTTTTCTAGACCATGACTGGCTTTGTGTTGCATGATTATCGCGGTTTTACTTTGAGCAGTCAGGATGTGTTTTAACACTGCGATGCTGTACATTGTTTCTAGTGTGTGTGTACCTTTGGTCTTACCCAATGCCTTAATTTTCAGAAACAAGATTTTAGGCCTTAAAGTCCTAAATTCTCTAAAATATTATAGGTCTTAAATCATTTTAAACAGGTGTCTTATTTTCCCATGTTCATGTAAAGCTACCCAATCGCATCAACACCCATCCAATCACCAACAATCCATCTGAATATTACTCTTAAAAAGGTTTTATTTATTAACTTTGTTTAAAAATATGGTTTAATTATCCTTCCTTACTCTTAAAGTTGTGTTTATAGCTACCTAGTGAGGTCTCTGACCTTTGCCGAAAAGTAAAGTTATTTAAAATTCACTATCTGACAAAAGTCCTGTCACTTATCCAAATTTTAGGAGCACATAATAACTTGATTTCTAGTTGATCATAAGGTATCTGAAGTTGCTTATATGAAAAGCAAAGGCCTCTAGATTACACTTATTTTACTAAAATAAAGTCTGATCATTCCTTGATTTTTAATTATTTAATTAGGACAGTAAGGTCTGACTTTGCTTAGACAAAAATCTTGTCACTAAACAGAAATAATGTACAGTATAGAATATAAAGTCATGGTGCAGTGGAAAAACAATGAATATTGTGTATGACTCCCATGAGCTTGGAGGACTGCATCCATACATCTCTGCACTGACTCAAATAACTTAATAATAAAGTCATCTGGAATGGCAAAGAAAGCCTTTTTGCAGGACTCCTCTTCAATGCCTCCTCCAT